GGTATGTGCTTGCCTTTCAGCTTTGTGATCTTCAACAACCAGGCTCTCCAGTACCACCTGCTGCACCACAGCCAAATGATCAAAGAAGGTCTATGCCTCCACCTACAACTACAGTTCAAAATAACAGTGATGTTAGAAGAACATCAGTGCCGCCCAACATGAGACCGATGCCACCGGTAATTTAAGCACAAAAAATCTTTAATTCATTGTTTTTAAAGATGTCAATCTTGAAAACCAGATTTATTTTAATTTAGGCTTATGTTCCTGAACTGCTCATGCTATATTTGTGAACTGCATTTTGCCAGTATAGTTTACACATGGCAGTGTCTTTTGGTTCAAGGTGGTGCTGTATATCTAAGTGCTCATAGACACAATGTGCAAACTTATCTCAATGTTATCTCCTCTACCTTTTCCTTGTTACCAAGTGGAAAAACATCCCTTTTTGCTGACTAAAATCTTCCAAGACAGACACACTGTTGCAAATTAGATGTGCTGTCGCACTAATAGGCCATTTTGCAGTTGTGTACTTAGTTGCCAAGCCTTTGATTTGGAGTGAGGCTGAAGTTGACCATGTTGTGATAGAGACTAGTATCTAGTTAGCATGATAACATAGTAATGGAACTAATGGAACTAAAAAATCACCATTCCACCAAGAGTAAACTCCTGTGAAGTTTTTATACCAGACAGAGTACTTGTCATAGCCTCTGCTTGCCTTCTTAAAAAATTCCATACTGATTTTTTTCGTTACACAATCAAGTTGGAAAAAAGGTGCAGTTTGACATCTTGTCTTCGTTCAGTAGGATGCTGCAATCCATAAATATGTTTTTATTGATGCCCTTCAAAAATGGAAGTAGATCAATCTATCGCTTTGGAGATGCATTTTTTCCTTTGGTCAGTGCTTTTTGATGTGTTTAATTTGTTGTGCAATCTAAACCTTCTTTGTTTTCAATAGACGGCTGAAACAGAAGGATCAATGTATGTCCGTGCTACACGGAAACATCTCATGCCTTATGATGACACAACTCTAGCTTTTGAGGTAAATGCATTCACTGTGTCAGCTTCCAAGATAGCTTGGGCAGCATGTTTTTGAAGCGTGAAGTTCACATGTTATTGAAAATGGACAGGGAAAGATTTCCTGATGCCCATGGAACAACACATTTTGATCTTACTAATACAATACTAAATGCTGCCTTGCAGAAAGGAGATATCATCAAAGTTCTAAAGAAATACGACAATGGAAAGTGGTTTGGTCAAAAAGGTGACAGAACAGGCTATTTTCAGTTTAACTATGTGCAAGTAATACCAGCAAGTGAAAGTCCAGATTGAATGGAATGAGCAGTAATTAAAATGTAACTAATGAACATTGAAATTAGAATTAGGAGTTTCCAGATCTTCATGTTGTCAATCAATTCTCAATCATCTCAAAAGTTAATCACAATAGGCATTGTTGATGGAGCGCCAGCATTAATGAGTAATATCACTGGGATGTTTTCCATTTACAAGGTTTGCCAGTGGCATGGATTAGCTCCTCTGAGAATTACTACAAACAAGAGCAACTTTTGATGCTTCTTCTCGGCACAAACTTACACTTTTATTCCTCGCTTTACTGACTTCCTTGGCAAATGCTGCTTCATGCAAAGGCACCCTTTGAATTTTACCATTGCTTTGTGCATGGACAAATCTCTCTCAGGCCACAGTTTCTCTTAGCAATTTTCAACTATGCTATCGAAAATGGGGTGAACTTTGAATTATTTGTCATGCCTCTGATTTTTTCTCACAACTTGCTGTGTATTGTTATTCAAATGAAAATACTGTGATAATTTATCAAAACGATTTCTTGACATGACCTTTTGTACAGACAGAATACCGATGAGTGGATCTTTGCTCTAGTAGAGGAAATTTGCTGGCAGCTGTTTGATGCCAAACAACACATTTAAATGCTTTCATGTAATCCAAGGAATGTTTTCATCTCTGCGAGTGTTGTTCTGTACCATTCAGGGACAGGTTTTGTAACGATGGATTCCTGTGTGTACTGATTAGTTTTGCCAACTATGTGTTTGATTAAGTCAAAATTGGTCAAAACACAAGTAGTCCACAGAATGCAGATACACACTCCCAGGAATAAGACGTGGTGATGCTAGAGTGCAGAGGTGCACTCTCAGGGCCTAAAATTTGAAGCAAATGGTGATGGAAGGGAGAGAATTCGGTGAAACAAACCATTGAAATTAACTAAGAAATGGCTCTGTGCATACATAATAAAATATCATTCTGTACATTCTTCATATTCATGAGATTAGAATTTTTTGAACCCCAATAGTGAATTTTTATATCCATAGGAAAAAGGGGGCCTGTATTCATAAAGGGACCATAACATAAATTTGTGGTCAAAAAGCCACCTACACGTACACCTACATTTACCCATTTATAAATTTTGCAAGAGACCTACAGATACAAAGTATATTTTTCATTTTCTTTGTATAAGCTTATTTTTATATCATTGCCTTAGCGAGACTCTTTCAATAGATTCTAAGGCATTAAAGAGAGTTGTGTGCATGTATAGTAGCAGACAAATAGCATTCAGTTGTCTCTGGCAAATTCGGCCAAAAAAAATTTCTGATCCAGATGTTCATGCAGATAAGCAGCACTCACTGATTTGTTACAAAATGTTTGGAAAAAAAGGTGCAGCTTGCAGGTGCCTGTATTTGTGGTAGTTGCCTTTAAGAAGCATCAAGCATTCCTATTAATTCCCACAAGTGAGCTATTGGCATAACTTTACCAGATAAATGATGAACATCCCTTGTATTACTCCTCAAGAAATAGCTAGCTTGACTTAAATTAGTGATATAGATTATATTTGATTTTGTGTTAGTGAACTTTGTAGTGTACAAAGCAGCCATGGATGGCTTATTCAAGTACTTAATAATAATATTTGTGGGGAGAACACAGCATATCCTGACATTTGTGACGTTGGAATGTGACTTGAGAGAATAGTCCAGCTTTTGTAAAGTAAATACCTTAAGAACCCAAATAAGTACATTTCTGTGTAGACGAGGTATACACCTATGAAGAATTTTTATTTTTGAAATTGTGCAAAAACTTCAATTGAGTGTTTTGATATGGATGGAATTTTTGGACTGAGGTAACTGATGCAGTAGCACACATCTACTCAGTTTCTGTTTTATTTGTAATAATTTTCCTTAGTAATAAGATGAAGCAAGTGGAACATGCTTTCTAAGTTACAAGCTTTCTAAAGAAATGCTTTGTTTGCTTGAAATCAATTGGTGAATGAAACAGTGTAAATCTGGTTGGAGTTGGGGCACTCTCCCTCTGTGATAGGTGTGAACTACCTTATAAGGTATGCTTTTAGGGGTTCAAGGTTTAAACAGGGTACACAATTTGACCATTTAGCTTTATAGGGTATCTTTCTGGACCAGAAACCTTGAACAGTGTGGGAACATGGCATAATCCAGTCTAACTACTTGGTACTAAATGAAATTGCTTGTAATTCTTATTTTAAATTTTCTGCTTTTCGGAGTTTTCAAAAGTGCTTTCTAGAGGTCAGTGTGTGTTACTTTAAATGTACACAATTTCTCCTGATCAAAACAGTAGTAGAATGAACAGGTTTTGGTGAAACAGTGGCAGGGTTTGAAGTTGAGGTAGCATATCCTCAATTAAACTCCCCTTAGCTATTTTGGCCCTTTAACTCTCATGAGTGACCAAGACAGAATTTCTCCTTACAATATCGAACAGACAAGTGATGAGAATTAAGAAAAAGATCAATTTGGGGATAATTAGTTGATTCAATACTAAATTCTCGGAACTAACATTATAAGAATTTTATGGTTGACAGTAAGGAGAATTACAAATTTGATCAAGGAGTTAAAGTGTTAAAAGTTAACACACCCTAGTTTACAAATTCTCTTTACAGCTCTTTAAACATTTCCTTGGTATTAACTAAAATAATTTTTTCCAAGCATTTGTGTCCATCTTTAACTCACCTCTGAGTGACCAATACATAATTTCTCCTTCCAACATCAATTTTAGTTCAAGCAGACAAGTGACAAGAATAAAGAAAAATATTAACTTGCAGATTATTTGTAAGTTCTCAGAATTAACATTATAAGAAATGCGTGGCAGACATTTGGGAGAATTACTAATTAGATGTAAAGAGTGAAAGGGTTAATATTTTATTTTTGTGATGATGTTGTAAAGAGAAGTTATATACTTTTCATTCCAAGGGGTTAACAGGTTGAGTGTCTCCCTGCAGTTAATCCTCACAGCTTTATGTTAGACCTGATTCAGACACCATACTTTTCATTAGCCAGTTGTATTGTCTTAAATTGATTAAAAGAAGTTTGTTTTCTACGTTAATGTTTGGTGAAAGTTTGAATCTGGACTGGCTCTGCCATTCATCTGGCTCTCCTGAACTGTGGATTTCAACTTGGAACAGCTTTGATTGAAATGCCACATTCTTCATGCAGCCAACCTGTGGACTTCAAAGAACTAAAGTGTCGCTTCGGTTTTCCTAGGTTTCTGGCCGTCATTCAATCGCGTAGACGCAGCAAGCGAGGCTCCTTTAGCCACTTTGGTGGCGTTTCTTACTGTTCTTAGGAAATGATGGTTTAGGTCGAGGGCATGTGGTTAAAGAAGCCACATTTTGGTTATGTATTCCTTGTTTACAAATTTGATTTTCCCGCCTCATATTTTTTCGAGAAACCGCCGAGGCTGATGAGGCCCCACGTTCTGAGAAACAGACTTTAATAGTTGCGTTTCTCTCCTCCCTCTTATCGCCTAGAACAGGCTTTTTTGCATCATTAAAGTTGTGTGAGTTCTAGACCAACCAGAAAGTCATGAGAAGCAGAATAAAGGCAAATACTTTCGTAATCTTTGCGCATAAGACAGGTTCCTCTCGGCTCCCTCATTTCTCCTTTGCGGTTTTCAAACTCGATCTCAACTCGAGCAAAAGGGAAGCTCTTGAACAAAAACCACACCAACAATGATCGGTAAATTTGCTTACGTATTATTTTATAGTTTACTTTAAACAGGAGACTAACGACCAGTTATTTCCTACTTGATTAACGGTTGTTAACAAACCAAGCATGGAACCAAATCCTAATCTAGGATTTGTCTCCTTAAGGTGCCAAACTCGCAAGCGAGGCCAAATCTTAGAGTTAGAGATTTACAGCATAAATTCCCAGTTGGCACCCATCTTTCGAACATAGCTTGTGAATTTTCGTTCAATGTAATTTGTCACTGTGTGCATAGGATCTTGCAGATCAACATTGGGAGGGGTGTGGCAGCAAATGACGTAACAAATGTGTCCCCCAACCCCAACTAAATGCAGTAATAGTTTTAACTAAGACCTATTAACGCATTTCTGTTACCTAACATGACAGTTTCCCTACAGCATGTGTTTCGAGTCAAGACTACAATGGCAACTGTAATAAAGGTTTCATCAAAATCAACATTATTATTATTGATGCTTCATTAAAAAATACAAAACAAGAAAAAACAAATCAAAACAAACAAAAAAACAAAACAAAAGCAAAAACTGAAAAAACTAACATGTCTTGCCAAGTAACCAGCTCAGGAATTAACTTCAGAGAAGCCATTCTAGTCGTGACTGGCTCTATCATGCGTGACAAAAACATAACCAGTTCTCTTAACGTTACCTGTTCAATTACAACACCACCTATTGAAATTAGTTCCTTCCCATTTAGTGCATGCTGTAGTTTAATAAATATTCATGCCTGAGAAGCTCGCTTGATTACTTCAAATGAAAGTTTAAGCACACAATTAGAGCAGATATAGTAAAATAAGCTGACAGGAGTTAATTTTGTTTCGTGTGACAGATATTCTGATGTTTACACAACTGCAAAGAAATTTCGCTATCACTGTTAAATTGATAGAGTATTATACAGATGCAGTATATATGACCATACCATTTACCATCAGCAACCATTAAACTTGGTATTATTATGAAAAGAAAAGAAATGAAATGTAATGAAATACAAACTACTTCCTGTTTAAGTTCTTAATGGTTTCTTCCTGCACATCACCACCTTCATGCACTTCACAAACATGCTGTATAGACATTATGTGTTGGGTTTCTGTCTTTTGGTGATTTTTATCTCTTAGCCACCATAACAACATAAACGGCTTTTGCTGTTTAAAATGCTGATGAAAGTTAGACAGGACAAATTGCAGAGAGCAATAGTTTAAATAGGAAAAGGGATCCTCATATTAAGACAGATGTAACATTCTGATTAAGAGATACAAGTTTTTGGCTCTCCTGTTCACTTGGTACATCTTTATGACAGAAATTGAGTACTTTTTGAAGTCTGAACCTTTTAGTGTTTAACAGCCTGTGTATACCAAAACCTTTCCTCTCTGGGTATTCTTAACCCACTAGCTCCTGTGAGTGACCAAAAAAGAAATTCTTGCTATATAAATACAATATCATCCAGACAAGTGATGAGAATTAAGAAAAATATCAATTACAGGATTACTAATGGAGCCAACAACAAATTCTCCAAACTAACATAATGAGAACCTTTAGTAGAAAGTAAGGAGAATTACAAATGAGACCTTGGGAGTTAAAGGTTTAATACTAAAGAGTACTTAGCAAGGTATTCACAGGCTGTTTAGAAGCTTAACAGTCAAGGCAAGCCAACAGTTAGCATAAGACCATTTACTCCAGAGATCTAAAAACTAAGTTTTAAACCATATATTTCTTTGCTGGTTGGTGCTGAAAATTGCTGTCAAGTCCAAAAATCTCCAAGCTGATAATTTTCTTTCTTCTTGTAACCTAACTGGTGGGTAGTGTATTGGCATACTTAGGAGATTTTATTTCCCAATCACTCTTTAGAGTGCAAGTTTCAGGCCTTTAACCCATGGGTTCACCAGAGCATCCACAGTTTGAACCTGCACCTAATGAAAAGGCATCTGTTGTTCTCATTTTGTTTCAGTTTGTTTTGCAGTTTCTGGAGGCTGACTGACCTCCTACACCTCTCACTCATGATCTTGCTTTGATTCAGTGCCTCCAAACCATGTGCATAACACTGTTATGTCAATTTAAGCTTGTGCTTTGTTGCTCTTTCCCAATACAATTCCTCTGTCCCACAGATCCACTTGTAATATCTCTTCTTCTCTTATTGCAATATTGTGAAGGACCTGCCTTCACTTGGGAATTGTCTCTGTCTTGAAAAGAATGAGTTTGTTTCCTTGTAAAGCCTCCTGGTGTCTCAGTATGTCTGCTCTTGGTACCTGAATGTCTACTTTGTTGAGAGTGTCTCTCATCTCTCTTATATACTCCTTGATTTTGTTTGTACTGTCTGTTAGTCTCCTGTATTCTGCTGTCCCGTTTTTTCTTTTCAGTCTTGTGCTCCAACAATGAATTACCACATTGACTTGGAAGAGGGTCGTTTACGTCGATGATGGATAACTCACTCACTCTTGTTTTGTGCTGTTCAATACAATTTGGTAATCCTGATGAAATGTCAACTCTGTGAGTTCCTTCCGTCATTGCATTTGTTACATTATCCCCTGAAGGCTCCGAGACTGATAGTAATTCTTTTGTTCTTGTACTAGAGATCACCTCCTCTTGTGAGGATTCGTTACATGAATTTTCCTTCAGCTTCTCTGCTGACGAGACTGCCTAGAACAAGACAAACCTTACTGAAATGCCTATCACCTACCATCTTCAAAATTTAACTTATTTGTCTGAACATGAGACAAAAAAAAATATCCTCCCCTCACACCTGCTGACTCAGCACTCCAACACTCTACTTCTGAACTACAGAACTTGCACTGAGCTGTCTCATATCCAAGATTCATATGGGAAAAGTATTCTGCCTACTGTGAGGATTGGAAAATGTCAAAGGAAGGGGGGGGGGGAAGAAGGAGGAAAAGAAGGAGGAGGAGGAGGAGGAGGAGGGGGTGGTGATGTCAAAAGGAGGAGAGAGGAAGGGTAAATAGAAAGATAACTGTTGACAAGGGAGTTGGAGGTAATCATGAAATGGATTGAAGGAAGTTAACCTGTGACCTTAGGTTCATCACACCAACTAGTGTTGACAGTTCAAAAAGAGATAGGGGAATAAAAATGGTAAGCAACTGCTCCCATTTATTGTACACCAGGATTTCATTACATTAACATTCTCATCATTTAATTAGTTTAAGCTGGTGCAAAGGCACAGCTAAGTAAGAAAAAATGTTTACCGCAGTGCTCTGAAGATCTGCTTGTCTCCTAAAAGGATGCATTCCAGGATATCCATTAGAAACTGTTCTAGTAATGGGATTGTTCCCTTGAGGATTACCTTGCAAAATCAAGTTAAAATAAATGAGAAGGGTTAGTCAGGTCAGAGGTATTTGAAGACCCAAAGTTATGTGTTGAATCAAAGAGAGACCCCATATTAGGGCAAAATACTGTAGGGTAATTTAGTATTACAACTGAGATGATTATGTAAATTAGCCACCATAAGGAGTTTTAACAGCTGACTTTTCGAGCATTAGTCCTCAGTCAGAGTGATGACTCAAAATAATTAAGTTATTTTCAAACACCTGTCTTTGACAGCTTTACATTTGAATTCTGAAAATTTTCTTAGTCTGAGCCCCAAGATCAACTTTGGATTCTGTCCTTATCTGCTATTACACCCAAGCTTTATATAGAAAAACATGGTGTCAAGAGTTAACAAACATCTTATTGCAGAACAAGAAGTTACACATTCACTCACAAATTGCTGAACCATTTACACCCTAACATCAGTATGCATATTCTCTTCACTGTTACCTACACATTTCCAAAGGTACTGATAAGGTGAATTTGTACCACAATCAGAGTTTCTTTAGTTGGTGATCATTTCCTTAATTTTCTTAACATTAATGTTTGATTCAGGGTAGAATTGAAGGGAGAACTTAGATGCTAGTCACTCTCAGGTGTTAAACTGTTAACTGGTCTTCAGACAGAGGCATGTTTTCTTTCAAGAGTAGAGAACTTTCCCTAAAATGTTTGGAACTCACTTGGGTTTTACGACAGACTTTCCATCAACACCCTGCCCAAGTGAAAAAATTGGGGGGCTGAAAAATTTCTTGAAATGTCAAGAAAATTTCACTTGAGGCCAAATTTCCTTAAAAATCCCCTCAAAGCCACAAAATTGATTAAAATTCCCTTGAACTACTTTTGCTGAACACTGTAAGATACATGAAACATCATGACAGAGCTAACCTGTGTCAAGTGCTTTTGACCATAAAATACCTGGATCATCAAGCATCGGCATGTGGTGGCTCGTGGGTGATTTACATTCAAATCCTGGAGGAGGGCGACCTTTGGAAAAAAAGGATATGGATATCTCTGTAATTTTCAGAACTGGTTCAAATTCTGAGCTGGTTGCAAAGAAAATAAGAAATAATTTTGCACTTCAAATGACCCTGCCTGCCAAAATGTGGCACAGTGTCTTTGTTTTGAATTTGTCACAACACTAACTGGATTTTGAACAAAGCTTGTAACAGATGAAATAAATAGTATGACACAAGCTGTAGCAATTGTTTCAAAAAACTTACACAAAATTCTACAGATAAATAAAAAACTTGTTTCTAAACTTGTCCTAAAATTTCCTTGGATCCGACACTTGAACCACAGGATGACAAGCACTAAAAACTTATCACTGTTACACAACAACTCTGAGGATCAAAATAGATTGCTCTGACGAAGGGTTAACACTCTAAACATCAGCTTTTAAGCTCTTTATGGTAGTCAAAGTTTTTTGTTATCAACCTAGTTGTTAGTACTAAACTACCCTGTTATACTCTTCCACCCACACAGCACCACAGTTTCTTTATAAACTTACCCCTTTATTCATTTGCCCCAAGGAGGGTTTGAAATCACAAGTTAGAAAAGTTATAAGCTTGTAGAAATCCCATATTTTTGGAGACAAAATTGCATTACACCCCAAAAAATGAAAAATCTCTGTTGCATGTGTCTTGTGACTCTGAAAGCAGAATACAAGATTACATACCTTGGAATGGATTTTGCGTTTGCTGTGAAGAAAAAGGCCAGTTAGGTGGATGCCTTTCTGTCAGAGGTGCAGAATGAGACCAAGAAGATTGTTGTTGAGGTAACTGAGAATCTAAGAAAAAAAATGAGGCATTCAGTCACATAAAACTTTGGAAATCGAAGTTACAGCATCTTAACTATTGCAATCAAACACAAAGACTTTAACTTAAGTTAATATTAATCACAAGTTTAACATGAAAGTAGGTATTTGAACCAAGCCAATAACCAATAATTCGGTAATTGTGAAGAAGAGCTCCCCAAAAAACCTGTCGGCCGACAGACGGCTGACAGGTTTTGCCTGAAATATAGGCTACCTGTCGGCCGACAGTCGGCCGACTGTTGGTAATGTGTCAGTAACCTGTCGGTAGCTTGTCCGTGAAACGTTAACACAAACCTTAATGTTTTCTCTCGGTTTTCGCTTGAAAACGACATCCAACATGTTTAATACGTTGACAATTGACTTTCAAGATTTAGTGGCTCCTAAAGGAGCCGTTTTGTGAGTGGTGAAATATACAAGATATTTCACTCGTAAAATCGTGCCGCGAACTTCATTGGCATACAGTCATACATCACCATTACGGATTGTTATGTCACGTTAACTGTTCGTTTTTAACACAATTTTTCTTTTTTCTTAACCTGTCGGTAGACTGTCGATTAAATTATCTTCCCATGCGATTCTTAGATTGTCTGGTGTGTTGTAAATTATGCAAGTGATATATCCTATATGCATCTGATAACATTTTGGAAGAAACGTTTCTTTACATACTACCAACTTTGCCGTCGATCGGTAAGTAGGTGAAGTCTGTCGAGTCATACATCACCATTACGGATTGTTATGTCACGTTAACTGTTCGTTTTTAACACAATTTTTTCTTTTTTCTTAACCTGTTGGTAGACTGTCGGCCGACAGTCGGCCGACAGACAGCCGACAGGTTTTTTGGGGAGCTCTTCTTCACAATTACCAATAATTCAAGCATTCAAGGTTGTCAAAAAGATTTTGTGTCACAGTAGTAATACAGAGCAGGCCACTCCACACAGAAAGCCCCTCCACGAGCAAAAGGCATTGGGAGCAAGAAGCATTCAGAGTAGCTGTGTATCTTTCAGAGTATGCAATGCATTACTGCATTACTGCATTACTGCATTACTGCATTACTGCATTACTGCATTACTGCATTACTGCATTACTGCATTACTGCATTACTACATGCATTACTGGCTTATTTTGACCACCCTGAAGCAAACAAGTTTTCTTAAAATAATGTATCCACCAGTAAGAAAAACATTCCCTTTCACTGGGAAGCAGGATGCCTAGTTGTTCAAACATTTCTTGCTTATATGATTGGATAGATGCCAAGATACTTTGCTAATCTACAAGAAAGCTTTGTTATCATAATTTTATAACAAACATACTCCATCACAAAAATCTGACATTGTTATTTAACAACATACCTGAGAAATTAATGTTTATGTTTGGTAGAAGTGCTCTAAGTCCATCTTGCCAGTTTTTAATATCATCACTCTGAGAGAGAACAAACATTCCAGAATTCAAAATCACAAGTCATAAAAATTAAGTACCAGTAATATATTCCTTCCACAACTAACAAGGGAAGAATTGAGTGTTTCTACTGCAACCTACATTTGGTGGAAATCCTGGGAAGAAACTTTGTGATTGTGAAGCTGTGGAAGTGTGAAGAGTATGTCCAGGCAAAGTTGTTTTGTTTTCTTCTTGAAGAAGATCTGCCAAACCTTTACTGCACTCATTCCAAGGATCAAACCCTTGCAAAAAAGGAAAACACAGCCACTATTACTAAACAGAAATGTTAATTTGATGACAAAAATAAAATTGCCGATGCCATCTCAATCATTAAATATGCAAGGAGTAAAGTAAATTCTATATACAGTAATGGTAATTGAACTAAGTGGAGTGCAATTCAGTTTGAAATCAAGCAAGTAATTTCAAAATCAACGAGCATGTCGCACTTGTTTGATTTGAAATCACAAGTATGATTTCAGACCAAAATTGCATGAAATGAAGTTCAATTACCATTTTATTACATCCATTTTTACATAAAAACAATTATATTGCTTGCATACAGCATTTGTTGGTTTGTACAAATATTTTATTGATCCAGTACTGAGCCGCTTTGTACATGGTTCCTAAAGTCCTCTTTCATTTTCCTGCATTTCAATTGGTTACTAAGAGCAAGCCTTGAAATTTTATTGATTGTTTTGTTTTAGTAAAGCTTTCTAATCTACTGCAAAAAAGATGCAGTTGCAAAAAATGGTGCCATTTATGAATAAATTGCACTGGTGAAAGTCAATCAAATTGCAAGAATCACCAGTGATTTCAAAATGGATATAATAAATCTGATCATCATCATATTATAATTATCATGATCATCATTAATTATTTTTATTGATAAATCATCTTTACCAAAATCAAAGAGACCAAAGATACAGTATTGTGCAAAGTTCGGCAAATTCCATTATTTGTTCTCATGATGTTTCATCGAAAGTTTTCGAGAGCGAAAATTCAATCGAAAGTTTGAGGCCTCTTAAGCAACATTTTGTTTGAACAAAGGATGCTTTTTAGTTTAATTTTCGCCATGAAACGAAAATTTGCAGCGGAAAATGTCTTTTCGATCATTGGTGTTTGAAATTTTGCTTCAAACTGACAATAGACTGCTGCAAATGATTGAGTTTGTTTACTGTTCATGTAAGCAACACGAAATATACATATAAACATATTTCCAGCTTTTTTTCAGTCACAAGGACGGAGACACTTCATATTTGAGACTAAACACAGCAGACAAAAGGTCAAACTACCAAAAAGCATCACCTTCGATTCTGAGCTCGATCTGTGTATGACAATGAAAGTAAATTGGAAAATACAGTAATTTCGACTAAGATACATGTTGCTGGTCGTCTTGTCATCCCTGTGCATTTGATGATTGACGAAAGTTTTTGCATCCATAGACAGCTTTTGAGGTCTTCCCGATCAAGGTAAATTTGCCACGGAACCAGTTAGACGCAACCTTTTAATGATGCGTGTGATGCTAGAAAAGCTCACTCATAACCCTTCCCATTTTAACGCCCTCAGTATTTCAGCTGGGTGAAGGCCTTGCTTGTAAAGGATCTCAATTCTTTTTCTAGAATAATTTGAAACTTTTGCCATGATGACTATCAAAAGTAGAGTACATAAATGATCCCAAACCCATTGACACAATTGAGTGTTGCCATGGTTGCAAACAACATAGGTCGCACAGAGACTGGAATTGTAGCAGAAAATTCCACAGGAGTATTACATAGAGCAGTAACAAACCACAAATTCAACCAAATCTTTTTGAGAAGAATGAACAATAGCAACACAGAACAAATTTTCACTCGAAATTCAAGTTGCATTTTTGCCATCAAGGAATATGTCGCTGAAAGTTTGGGCTGTTCAAAACAATACATGCCTCAAAAATTCATGGAAATGTCATCGAAGTTTCATTTTGGTCAAGAATTCATCAAAAAGCTATCACCCGATCAATTACTTTTGCACAATACTGAAGGTGTTGTTGTCAGGTAGCCTACAGACCCAGGGTTGTAGCTAAGAAATTAGGCTGCCGACAAACATTTCGAGTAATGTGATTCAAAGATAGCTTTTGATACCGATGATTGCAAGCGCGTAACATCAAAAGTGTGCATTGTGCTTTACTGAGGGAACATTGGCCAAAACTTCAGCCAGCAATTGCCACTTTTTTCATCTGACAAATTTGCCTGCAGCTGAAGATAGCTACAACCCTGGAGACCAATCAGATCAATCTGATGTGATGCAAATCATGGCAGTACCTAAATCATCTTCCCCATAAACTTTCAGATGTAAATTAGACAGGCCCAGACCACTGCACAGATCAGCAGAGAACAGACTGGAAGTACTGCAAAGAAAAAATGAAGGAAATGACAATCGGCCAAAAGTAATCTGTACTTTTAGGAAAAAATCATATTGACAGAAAGAAGGCTAGGAAAGAAAAATAGCAGGTAGCTGATATGATGCTGCACTTTGCTCGACCTAAGGGATGAGTCAAATACCTCTCAGAATTTAACAACAAAGTCACTGATCCCTGTGCTTTAAGTTTTCAGTCACATACTGTTTTTCAAATTTATATCACAATTTTCTCATTGTATTATTAATAAAAGCTTCTTACTCTAAAACGCGTCCAGCACTTTCTGTATTTCCCCAACCTGTAAATGTAACAGCAAAGTTGTCAGCAAAAACAACTGACTTTTGTTACAAAGGGTCCCATTTAAAATAATGGTCAAAATGTGACAGGATTGATTATCAGCCCCTGAAATTTTTTTTCCAACCAACACAATATCTTTCTAATGAAGGACAACTTTTGCTATTTTTCTAATCAATAATTAGTTGGTGAACGGATGAAAAAACTGTTTGAACGGATGTTAAAATCGTTCGAACAGATGTCAGAACCATTCGAACAGATGTTGCAATACTTCGAACAGATGCTAATGTATTTCAAACGGATGTGCAAACTGTTCAAACGGTTTGTTGAACGCTTTGAATGGATTTTTTTAGGCGTTCGAACAGATGACAAACGGATAACGAACAGTTTACCCGTTCAAACAGATAACTGTTAGCATCCGTTTTGCCTTTCACAGTCACAATTGATTTGCAAATGAAAAGAAAAAAAGTCATTTTGTCACTTGACACTGCCATGAATAACATGTTGAAACACACCACAAATCTCCAATAAAAAAGCCAACAATTCTTACCTGTATTGCTGTAGGTTGACTGTGGATGGTTTGCAGGTTTTTCTTGTCTTATGGTGTCAGATGGCTTATGTTCTGTTGCAGTTTTAGTCAGAGATGGGAGACAAGATTCCTCCCAGTCCTCCTCCTCTTTTCTTTCTGCAACTGAACTACCTTCATTTTCTAAAGTACTTTGACAGGCATCTCCTTCTCCATTCTCATCTTTGCCAGCCCTTCAACAGTCAAAGGTAAAGGTTAGAAAGAGTCGAGTATGCAGTAAAGCTAAGAGGCCCACAGGGCACCAGAGCCCAGTCTCTGTAGCACGAAGCAACAAAGCACACTACTGCTACTCTTGAATGAATGACTGGTCCATGCCAAAGTACCCCACACACCCACTTCCTCCTCCCCCCCCCCCCAGCATTTTGTCCCCATTCCCTGACAGTTTGCTGTCTGAGCATAGGTCATCAATTAACCCTTAAACTCACAAGATCTGTATGTTAATTCTCCCTTCTGGCTGCTACTCATTTCCTTGTTAATCACTTCTGAGGGTTAAAGGATTGCCATGGGTATTCAATTAAACGCCACAGCATCTATTAAATTTTTCGTGATTCAAATGTGGCATTTATTCCAGGGTGGCATTTATTTAAAATCCTATTTATTTCTTGCATACAGTAGTACGGTGACTGACAATTTTAATTTTAAAAAACAGAAAGATGTTTTAGTACTTGTCTACAAAGTCATATTTTTATATTGTTCTCAAATTTCACTATTTGCATGTCAATACTACTGCAACACAAATCTAATGTCAGATATGCTTTCTCAACATCAGAACTGGTACATTCAAAAGGATTTGTATCTGGTTCACTCAAAATTTCCAACGGCAATTGAAGCATTGATCTTTGTGTGCTTTTTGAGTCTATTACTAGAATGAATGCCTCATCAGGATGGGGCATTTATTCAAGGGCGGCATTTATTAACTCACTCAATGTGTTGGTAAAACATTATGTCCAAGGTGAGTTGAGAAAATCATGCAATGTTGGAAAGATTTCACCCGATCAAGCACTTGTTTCAGCTTGTAGAAAACCAGACTTTTAAGAATTCATCAGACTTCAAAGTTATGTAATTTTGTTTCCTTATTTCTTCCCTTTTTCAGGAAGTCGAGACTATACACGAACCCTGTGAGAGGTATACAAGAAAATCAGGTCATGAATGAAATCATTTACATGTACCATGCTGCTTCTGATGTTAGACGAGGAGACAATCTGTATTCACCACCATCATCAACCGGCCATTCTTCATTTTTATCCTTAAAAAAAACAAAGCCAAGTAATCAAAACATCTGCAAAAATGATAAGCATGATGTTGGGTATTACAAAAGTTTACTTTGGAATTAAGAGTGGGATAAAGTGGAGTTGATCCCACTTTTTACTGCATGGAAAAAGTGTCTTTAAAGACATTCTTGTGGTCAGGTGTTCCAAATATTTGTGTACCAGCCCCTTACTGTGATCCTTTTTTTAAAAGAATTTATATGACAGTATTAATACTAAAATGCACACATACCTTATCACTGCTAAGACCCCTGGAAACATAAAATTACAGAAACTGTGTAAGTTAGTTATGTTAACAGTGGAAAAGATTCCTTATCTACTTTTTTCTATTTATGATGAAACAAAATTGTTGCAATGCTGACATCTTCAAACTATTAGCACAAACAAACCAATCAGGTTATTAAAAAAACTCACATTTTCTTTGAATAAAAAGCAATTAACTGCTGTTCATATTCTTGATGTTTTCTGCAAAAGAACCACAGTAACAACAGTATCAATATTCAACACAGTAGATTGGTGCAGTGACTAAAATGCCACAAAATTCTTAGAAGGGTAACTTAATATGTTTTGAAAGCACATTGCAAGTTGAAGTGAAGGGAAGTGGGAATGGGAGGGGAAGGAAAGGGGAGGGGAGAACAAGGGAAAATTTAAAGGAGGAGAGGGGAGGGTAAAAATGGAACTATTACAGCTACAGTTGGTTTTATATGTTGTTGTTTTTAGAAAAAAATTGAAATGGCCAAAGAAAGGTTACACACCCTGCCTGCATTTCATCCTTTGTAAAGCTTCCTGCACCATCACCTAACTCATGAAGATACATACAATCCTGAAAATAATCAAATAAAAACAGCAATTTAATTATCCACTTCTAAATGTTCCTGAATGCATGAGTCCATGATGGAAATATTGCAAATGCATTTTTTTCCCATTGAAATTTTATTACTTAAAATTCCAGAATAATTTAAGTTTTTTTCAAATCTCATTGTGAAATCTATAGATGGTTTTCATTCTATTACAGGCAAGGAGTGACAATACATTTGAAAGTACACTGAAGCTCAAAAATGAATTTCTAGTAGTTGTATAATAATTTAAGTTTTTTCCATTTTGACCCACAATTCATTTTAAACTTCAACATACATGTAGTTAAAAGTTGTATTTAAAAAAGTCAGGTCTACATGGTTTCAACCTAATTTGAAAAGCATTCCCTTTGTTCCAGAAACATGTACATCTAATTTACCATAATTTTGAAATTCAAATTAATCTACAATTGAAATTTAATTTCACTTGTAAATTATTACTCTTGGCTACAAAATAAATATGTAAGCATTATTCAGTAGTTTAATAGTTTCTGGGGTGATAAGAAATCAGGTTGTTAACATTGTTATCCATGAATCTATTTAAATCAATTTTCTCTTTTCGCATTCTCTGAATTTCTATGTATTGGACAAACCAATTACCTTATCACAATGAACTAGTCCAAGGTTTTTACTTACTGTTTTAGGACATGGTATGTTTCTGAGAAAGTAACTACAATATTTAGTTGTCCCTAAAGAAGCCCTGTCAAAAAAAATTGATTAAAAAAACAATTACAGGAATACAGAATTATCAGTGGCAAATAGGATTGCAGTAAATGTACTGGTATTCAGTTTTTTTTTTTTTGAAGAAGAAGTCATAAAACTTTTAGTATGAACAGATATCATTAGTATTGGTAATAACATGATTTTGAGGGAAATTTGGTGTTAACAAGTATGAGTAAATTTTCAAAGACAACAAAACTAAGCAGGCCCACAGGGTAAGTGACATTTGTAGCCTTTGAAAATTTTCAAGTGCTTATTACACCAAATTAAAAGTCATAGAAAAATCATGTTATTACTTGTTAATAATGTACATGAAAAAAATCACAGAAAGTCAAGACAGACAAAATTTTGAAAGCGTATGCATGCTACTAGTAATTTGCACTTGTGTTACAACTTTGCATTAGTGTTACACAAGAATGCACTCATTTTCAGCCAATCAGAAGCACGCAATTCTTTCATGTACATTATTATCATAGAAACACACACCCACATCAAGGAGAACTCACAATATCAACAGATATATCTATGTATTGTAAAAAAAAAAAGCATTGAATCTAAATAGAGCAATTTTCAATTGAGTGTCAAAAGTAATCCAGAATTGCTTTGGTTTTGCTTTAATTCCCTCTGTGAGGATTGATCTACAAAACTTGCACCACTTTCTCAACCAATCAGATGCCAAACTAAAACCAATCACACCATTAGTTGCCAGCATTTTCTGCACTTTAGGAAGTTTGGTAGTTTTCACTTTGAGTTCTTATTGGCTCTTGAATATTTTTTATTTCTTCTGATTGGTTATTAGGATTACTTTGGTTTTAGCTCTGTGACATTCAATAGAAAAGCACTCTAATCAGGACACTTTGTCTCACTTTAATGTTCTCCCATCAAGATGAGTGTTACACACAGCTATTATTGCTTTAATTGCATCCTGTAAATAAAAATAAAATGTGTTGATACCCTTTCATCAAGGGAAGCCCAGTCTGGGCAAATGGTTGTAAAAATGAATGTGATTACCTCTTCTTTCACATATGTAATGTAAGCACTAGCACTGGGTCCCTTAATAAATAAAACAAACAGATAAGACTGATTAAAAATAATAATAGAGTATTATTTGTCAACTGAATTACAAAACTTAAAAGAACATGTATTTTTCCACCTAAAAAGTTCAGGGGATATATTAAAGTTCACACGGCAACCAGGTGGACAATCAGACATAGTTTGATGCTACTCTGGTTTACAGATTTAATGAAAGTAACCGAAGAAGTTACACTCATAGACCCAGGGGTCTATGAATTGTAACTTCTTTGGTTACTTTCATTAAATCTGCAAACCAGAGTAGCATCAATCTATGTCTGAAGTTCAGGGGAGATATAGTAAGGAGAAATAAGATGCAAGTCACTCTTTAGGGCTTAAGGGTTAAACCAACAAGCCTGTTCCAAACTTACAATTTGAAAAAATATTCTATGTGATGGAGTCACCTTATAACTTTCTCCACTTTCTCAAGGCAAGATGGAGTTAACCCTTTAAGTCCCACTAGTGACCTAGGCAGAATTTCTCCTTACACTATCAGTATGATATCAAGCTGACAAGTAATAGGAATAAACTAAAAATATCAATTAGGGGATTATTGATTAATCCAATGCCAAATTCTCCAAACTAACATCACATAAATTGTATGACAGGTGGTAAGGAGAATTATTTATGAAATCTTGGGAGTTAAAGGCTTGAAAGATGGAGGTAAAATAAATAAATAAAGCAACAATGTTAGTCATTTCTGGATGATTGCAAGGGGCTGTCATGCTTTGAGTTCAGCAAGCAACTTTGGAAATGCTTGTGGCAAGCTTTCATTCAACCCTCTTTTTACTAGTTGTGGTGACAGGTGAATAGCAATAGTTTCATACCTGTGACAGTATCTGATGCCTGATGATTACCTCTACCTATGAAGACCTGCATGGTTGGCTTGTTGATTGTATTTACCATAATACTAGGTTTCCGAGTTTGTTTGAATTCACTACTCACCTGGGGACCTGCATAATTTGTACTATTATTCACAACTATTTTGTGTATTTTTCCAAACTTGCTGAAGTACTCTGGTCTTTTAAGAAGCTAAAAGGAAAACACAAAGAAAAAAACACTCATAAAAATTTCTCTCAATTCTTGAACTTAAATCTATAGCACATGAGTACATCAACTTTAAAACATACCTCGGGATCTGCTAATCTTTGAGTTAGTCCAACAACAAATACCAAATTTTTCTGTACAACTCTACAAGAAAAGGGAAAATATCCACATTGGTTATGGTGCAAACTGTGATCCTTTTATGTTAGGGATATATACCCATTCACTCCTTGTCTGTTCCAATTGCCTTTTCCACAATTTAATTATCACATATAAGATTGCAATGCATATTTATTCTATAGCTGACAGAACAAACATGTATCTTTAAAAATAAATAAATAAAAAAATAAATAAAATAAAATTATAGGTTAAAAGTAACATAAATAACTTACAAGAAGAAGAAAAGCAGATCATACTTGTTGGAATAATGAAAGTGCACAAGGAAATCACTCTTTGTAGAGATGATTTATGTAGGAAACTTATATTTCTGTGTGTCTATCCCATTTTGAACACAGGCTACTTTTCAGTTTTTCAGGAAACAACGAAATATCACCCAGAAGCTTGTTCCAAAATAATGAGAAAACTGTCATGCAATGAAAGCAATTTTCCTTAATCCAATCAAAAATATCATATTTAGTCATTTCCATGACATCCCATTACCTAAACTAAAATTCATAGACTTTCTGAACCTGAAAAATAACATCATGAAATTCTAAAGCTTGCCAGGTCTTCCATCACCCTAGCAAATTGCACAAAGGCTAAAAAAATGCTCTGACAATGCATACCAGTGCATACTGATTTGCCTTCTCACCTCACATTTGCTAAGTGTTTTCTGTTCTCAGTTACTTTTTGTTTTCTTTGTACATCTTTCTGTTTCCTCTCTTTCAGAATTCTCTGTATTCTGCAAAACAAATAAAAGGGTATCACTGAATCAGAAAAATACAAAAAAAATTTTTTTTCCATAATTTAAAATTTTTCATGAAGCACATTCAAATATAAATTTCCATTGTGCTGAGGGTTGTATATTATTGCAGCATTTTCTTTTTCTTCCCTCCTTGATATTATTTTGGTGAATCTGAAAGCTGAAGAATTCTAAAAAACTGCACAGCAAGCAAACAATTAATGCAAAGTTTTTGGGAGAAACAAACTATACATGGTGTGTCTGTATAAAATAACCTGTAACAGGTGTGGCTTTTCTCTTTTTTGATGTGTTTGTATTGAAAACCAAAGTATCTCTAATCACAACATGAGCATCATTGTCAAAACTAGGAAAAAATAAGTATCTCTATTTCCACACTTAACCCTTTCACTCTCATAATGCAACGAAACACATTTCCTTCTTAATCAGTAACAAGAATTTGGTGATACATGTAGATCAAGATTAAAACTTCTACCTGATAAGTTTGAGTTTTCTCATTGCTTGTTTGCTGGATAATGTATGGATATTATATGGAGAAGTAACATGTTAATCACTCTTGGGAGTTCTAGTATAATACAAAATTATCATCATTTTGTTGGCATTATGGCGCATTTTACAAGCTACAATAGAAATTTTGGCAGACTAAAATGCCTCCCATCCTTTCTCAATGCCATCCAAAATGATAATAGTGGTACTACAGCTTGTATCCTTAGGGATAAATATGTTTTGGGCCATTCTAAGAATCATTTTAACCCTCTTGCATTGGCTTGGGTCCAAAATAAATGTTTAACTTTATTTTCTTATTAATTATGCTGAAAGCTTTTTTCCCTAATTTTCTATATATATTATTTCTGGCCCAACATTTTAGCTCTGGCAAACATGTCATGATTTTGAATTGCTACATAGAATCTCTAAAATGAGTTGGGCTTGAAAAGCTGTATATTTGTTTGCTCAGTAAAACGTTGATCTAAAACGACGTCTGTCTATTAGAAAAGTTATCCTTTACTTACTCGTCTTGTGAAAGGGGTGTATACACTGCAGGATCTTCACTGTAGGGCTGAAAAGATAACAGAAAAACTAAAGTTTCACTGAAATAGCTACAAACAGCAACCAAAACAGTTTCCAAAAATAGAGGAAAAGGTACAAATAATCCTTTACAGCTCATCAACAAGGCTAGGTTTGAGTTTATTGTTTAAAGGAGCTAAATTGAGAAAGAAGTGCATGAATTTTGCTTACATACAAGACAAAATATGACACAACTTTCAAACCTTTCTACAAGCAGGACATAAGCCATTTTCATCTGTTCTTATCCGATGCCAGCAAAACCTGCAGATCTAAAACGAAAAATTCCTGGGTTAGGAAGACATTTCTCAAATCTATTAATTCCAAACCTACTTAAAACAGATCTTGCAAAAAGCATAATCTGCATTCATTCTCTTTCCATAAGTGTATTCTTCTTTTTAGAATTTTTCTTTAGAATCTTATGATGAGTTATAACTCAAGTCATGTACAGTATATTCTCTTGATGCTAAAAATATATTGATTCAGGAAAAAATTGGATGCAATTTGTAGTAATTATGTGAGAGAAAAAAGGAAAACATTCTCTAAAACTGGAGACCAAGATTTTTCTATCTATTGAAAGGTAACACTTGTAAAACTGGTAAAGGAATACAACTTTCTCCTACTTAGTATTCAGTTTATGAAAATATATCCCACAATGATTTTGCAGTTAGATAACCCACTAATACCCACGGTGTAGGTAACTACAAGTAAAACAATCTGATTTGCAACATGAGAATTGCTTGTTTATAACAAGAAGCAAGGAAGGAACAGCACAATACATTTCAATATCTATGATTTTGTTCAAAATGATTTCAAGTGAAATTGAGCTCAAACTTGTGATTTGTTTTTCTTTAAGCATCCAGAGCCAAGTGGTAAACAAACTTAAATAGTTTGAGACCATTTTGAGCTTAAAGCCAATTTAAATTACAGTGTCTAAGTGTAATAGTAACAACAGACAATAACCAGCTGAAGCATCACAAAGGTGAGGAATTCAAAGTTCAAAAGGAACATTTACAGCCAAATACTCCTCTCAAGCTATATATATATATATCACTTGTTCATGAGAGACAGCAAGTGGTATTTTTCAAATTCCTTATACCAATTTCTGTCAGTGTGAACATGGTGGCTTAGCTTTAGATCACATTAAATATATGACAGAGATTAGCACTCAAATGTACAAAACACACGTGCACCTAAGATCATAACTGAGATTGGAAAAGAAATGTAAATATATCAACAAATTATTTCTTGATATCTATAATGGACCTTTTGCTTCGCATTGGAGTTCAATTACTTGTAGCTTTTGTTATATTTAGGAAGAAATATTCCCGATAGATTCAATCGAGTACGTATAAATTCACATATTCGATTGCTACCATCAGAGGGCGTTAAATGTTAATGATGAATTATACTTGTGTAAGAACGGCACCGACTCGAAGAAACCAAAATATTGCTCAACCATTGAACCTGAATATGGCACTCGTAAACAGCAAATCGTATTATGGCCAATGAATCTAACAGCTAAGAATTTAGAACAATATTTGAAAAGTGTATAAAGTCACAAGATATACATGTTTATGTATTAACATATTTGTACAATTACGCGTTAAGTTGTTTTGTACTGCATAGATCTGTTCACATGAGGCGTTTCTCTATAAATCACCTCACATTTCATTTACCTGATATCCACAAGTGCAAGGGAAGAAATTGACATCGTCGATTTCCAACTGTTCCATACACAACGGACACTGCGTAATAATTACAGAACAGACAATTTATTTAGAACTCCCGCCAATAAACTCGAGATCAGCCCCAAAAAACTCAGTAAAATTCAACAGCACCATTACCTCTGCATCTGAAGCTTGCATGATGATTTTGAAAAAGCCGTCAAGGTAGACAGTTTAGTCGCAGAAACAAAAGGCAATTCGGTCTACAAAGTATTGTAGTTAATTTCTTGGCGGGCCGAAGTAGACAACTTTCTAAACGTCTCACCGGAAACAGAAAATGTCGGCGGAAATTGTCGGTGCGTTCGATGGAGAGCGAGTTCTTCTTTCCCTGAGATTCCGAACGATTCAGAAATCCCCAAATACAAGAAGAGATGAAGCAGGCAACTTCTATTTCTTGTGTATAAACTCTTGCCCTCTTGCCCAATTTCCTTTCCTTCGCTTGTCATATCACGACTGTGTCATTTGCTATTTACGGCGCATGAGCCTCGCGCATATGACTAGTTTGTAACCGGCTGTGATTGCGGGCTATATAAAATGCGGTCTTAAATATTCTGCGATCTGATTGGTGGCCTAGTGGGTAAGATTGGTTTACATCGCGCCCTACTCGGAATTCCCCGCGAAAATTTGTTTCTTAGCAGTTTAAATTACGAGTAACTTATAAGTAACTCAAAACGTTAACAAGGGAAATTTTTGGGCCATTTTTGAAAAATAAAATGCTATGATGCCATACTAAGAAAAGAAGGCCTTCAGAGGAAATCTCAAGGAGAATTTTAAAAAAAATTCATAAATCTACACAGAAATTGCTTCGCGTAATCTTTTCATGTAATTTTCCCATTTTAACCAACCTTGTTGGGTAAAGGTCTTGGCGTTTCTATGACTTTAACCTGCTGACTTCGTCTTTCCCTTTTAAGGATTTTTTAGCAGTTACAATCACACCCGCCTACCTTGATGGCCCCTTCACAATGGCGTCTGTTCATCATTATTATTAAACGGTTAATGGTTTTCACACGAGAGCAACATTTGACTTTGTAGTGTGATCGTTCGGGTGGGAGTAGTTCCAGCAAGGATTTTTTTTGGTAGTAATCCCTCGAATCTTCTGACCACCCCGTTCGTTTTACTTGATCCATTTATCGCGCTTTGCAGCATTCAAGAATTGGTAACTTAACCCGAAAATTCAGCCTTAGCGACACTATGATTATCAGCTGAGTGTGGGCGGGTAAAAGTTTATAGACGGGGTTTTCACCTTAAAATTTTGGTGTTGGCACGAGTAACCTTCCTCGTTTCCACTGATAACCAAATCTTGGGAGCCGTGCGTCGCCAACCGTCAAACGCGAAAACCCGCAAAAGGAAGTCAAAGGACGTTGCCACGGGAAACAGAACCAGTTGCCTGTGACGACAACACCATTTTAATGTCAAAACGTAATTGCCATACTACCGTCGCCTTCGCATATAGAGGTTGGGAGGCGTTAGGAGAACTTACACCATGTCATAACGCTGATGATCACGTTCCTATGAAGAAAGTCCGTACACATCTTCTAACAAATAAAAGTCTCAATTTTATTAACAATATATTCCTTGAACTTTTCGTCTACAAAAGAACATGTAATACAACTAAAGTCGGAGTAGGAACAAGTGTTTAAAATACAAAAATACAGCCATATAAAATATGAAATATACACAAAAATAAGCTACGGTATAAAAATATGTCGCTTCATGATATTTCCTATTTTACAAAATGTGTTTCATTGAAATTTCTAATTCTTATCAATCATTTTCATTCGTTCATCTCAGAATTATTTTCATTCTTATTTTCAAATATGTGATATATCATTTAACCACTAAAATCAAAATTTAAAATCATGATCTAATTTCCTATCTAACTTGTTAGCATACGTAGTGATAACAAAAACAATTATATGACAGGGATAAACGAAACCTAAACGAATGATTGAAATACAATTAAGCCGATAATTTTGCAAATTTTTGGTGAATATTTTAGAGATTCTGAACACGACTCTCTATTACGTTTGAATCATAATTTATCATCAGTGAATTTTTGACAGGTTATAGATAATTGAGAGTAAATCTGAACGAGCTCGACAACTGTAGTTGCCGATGAGAACTTCATGACGTGCTGTTCTCCAAAATATGCTGAACGTTTTTTCTAAAATTATTACAGGGAAAGTTGAGAAGTTTTGAGTGATCTCCTTGGGTCCGTTTATCCAAAAAAATGCTGTTTCAAAATGACCAAGATTAGTTTTTTCAGGGAATTTCCAGCGCGAAAAAAGTTAATCAAATAAAATTGTTGGAATTTACTCTCGAAATTGCCATGTTCAAGCCGTAAGTGATAAGAAGATCGCGCAAAATATCCTCTGGATTTGTTTCTGTACATTTTTTCGAAGAAAAAAGTTTTTCAGTTTCTTTGTGATATCTAAATGGCTGCTTCTGTAAGAAGTGAATTGATAGAAGGAAGTATTCCTGGTTCATCAACACAATCCATCTTTTCCAACTCACAGTCGCCGTTAAATAGCTTGTGGACTGTCATGTTGATGTATTCCTCATTTTCGTCCGTGTGTTCCCCGACCCCGACTCCCTCATCCAACATTCCTGGCGCTTCAGAGTAAACCATACTGCAGGCCATCAAAGGAACTTCTGCGCTTGTGCTCACGTGCTCCACGTGATTGCGTGATGCGTGTTGCGTGACTGGCATATAGTAGCCTTGCATTACTTGTGGATAAGGTACGTTTGCGTGATTCATCATCGCGTGATATGGCGAGGGACCTGAATGACCAGTACCATTTTCAACGTACTGTTGACTGTGATCATAGCCCTAGAATGGGAAAAAAGGGAATAGGTTACGAGCTCATTGAAATCCAAAACGCGAGTTACTTGTTTTTCTAAACTCTGATCTAGCAAGGATAAATACTGTATATAATATGCATTTCTTTGGTTAAAAAACCTACAATAACAATAACGATCTAACACAGGATTTCAAATTCTAGTGTATTTATTATCAAAACTCTTACCAGCCCAAATGAATAACAGTGATGCGGCATAGAATTGATAGAGTATAATTCAACGGCTTACACTGAGCTAAACTAAGGAAAAATCTTAATGACCACTCGCTCATATTTGTCTGAAGAGAGTGATTGTACTATTTCACTCGCCCTTAACTTACATTAGCCATGTAACAACTCTCGTTAGTCGCCGGAGCCTGGTACCGATTTGGCGCCACGAATCCACCAAGCCCGCAGTTATTGAAGTGCTGCGCAACCAGGCTGTCAATCGCCTCAGATGAAGGGTTTACATCGCCGTGTATGGCATATCCCCAAGGCTGCTTTTTCTCGCCTAAGGCTGTGTACGTCACTTGTGAGAAGTTGCTGTTCCCTAGAGCGTTTCTGGGTAATCCTGTCGAAACCGCTGGTGACACAGGTGGCGTGAGCACAGGCGCTTGAGGCATTCCATTGTGACCAGGAAAGTAATTCTCCTTAGGAGACGGCATAATGAAGGCGGTCGACTCCAGCGGTGTGGGCGGGAAACCATTCATCGCAGGCGACATCGGTTCACTCATCATAGAGCATGCGCTCAGGCGATGAGAGGACAGTTTCTTGGGCCTTGGTTTCACGCCATTTAGGTGATCACGTGACTTCGTCCGCTTGTTGCGATTGGACGGACGACAAGTGTATTCAGGTTCTTCGACTTCAATCTTAGGAGGCAGTTTGCCTCCGTTGAGTACAACGCTATCGGGAACTGTGAACTTTGTTTTTGTCACAACGGTTTGTACTCGAAGCGGAGATTTTTCTTTGTCGACTCCCTCACCTGAAGAAGAGAAATAAAAGAAAAGAGTGATAAACTTAGAACTTTACGGATAAAGCTTCAAGACCATCTTCTCTCCCCGGTACTGAGATGTAAAATATAAAACCAAGAGCCCGGTATGGCGACTTTTCATTTTCATTTAGCTAGACATTATCCGTAATAGTAGGGATAACCGCTCACCCATTTTGAGATGCCTGTCCAACATTTCTTGTAGCTTCTCCTCCGTTTCGTTGTAGAATTTTGTTTCAATAACGAGCAGCATATACTCATCAAGAAGCATTCTGATGAGGTGAAATGAACCTTAAAATAATTAAGAAATTTTTAGTAAAACAAAGCATCGAGAAGCGCATTACGGCATGAGTGAAATAAAGAAATAAAAGTGTGTTGGTGTGCAAAAATTCTGAGCACGGAGCCAATAAAGAATTTTTTATATGAAGAGCAAATAGCAAAAACTGAGTGCCTTGGTTGTCTGTTCAAACGATTTCCTGAGTTGGTTTTCTTTTAGAAGTAAAGTTAAAATAAAGACGGCTTATATGGTTTGCTTTTGCAGTGAAAGCTATTTTCAATCTTTTTGGTGACTTTGGACCCGACTAACGAGAGCTACAGGCCTTTCACGTAACAAAAACGCAAAGGTTAAGCTAATAATGTGACACAGCTTCGGATAAAGGTTAAAGCTTCTTATTTCACAGGGGATAATCGATAACTTGAGCGGATAACCTCGCCCATACGTAAAGATTTTCTAAGTTTAGCGTACTAACCGAAGTGCGTCGAGGCGTTCAGCGTAAGATTGTGCATCAGCCTCGCTCCCAAGAATGACCATCTTAAAAGAAACTCCTGGGCTCGGCTTTTGAAGTCGTCACTAGTGCCTTCGCAGGGCTGCAATAGTATGCAACGTGGATTATCATTAAGAATTAAAAACAAACAAGAGAACAAATGCTTTTTGAAATAATACTATATCAGATTTTTGTTAAATTTACAGCCCTCAATTAAATTATCTAGCCAATCCTTCTGACCTCTGAAAGAGCAGATAGTTTATTTGCGCAGTTTCCGACTTTGCGTGCTGATCACATGCTCATTTCATGTGCATCAAGTGCACATCATGAACGCATGGTGATAACGTACCCTAATAATCTTTGTCTCGACCAGTCTATCTAGCCATTCCACGTAAGATTCCAAAGGAGCTTGTTCCCGCAGCAGTTCCACGAAATCTTGGAGAACTAAAAAGGTCAATGCAAGGCAACAAAAAGAAAAATTAAAATACCAAACGCCTCAATTTCGTGAAAAATGCTTCTGGAGACGATGAAACTGGAGTAGAAAGGTTTCATTTGTTACTTACATTCATTATCAAACCCATCCTCGCATTCCTTCTCAGTCTTTGTGTGAACAGTTTGTCTTGCACTGTTTCCATTGTCTAGCTTCTCAACGTCTTTAACCATGTGATCGACAACCTCTTGATTTGCTAAAACGGGTCGTGCGGTCTGGAAAATAAACACAATGCAAATTATACCTGCCTCGTGATTCAGACTGCTTCATTATGCTGGGACCTTAACGATATGGTCGGTAGAGTCTCTCTTCTGACTGCTAAAAGTTACGTTGTAAATCAGTTCGGAGAATTTGGTATCATATTAAGATAAGACCCTGCCGCTTTTAACTATGTCTATTCTCGTCAGCTGTTCGCTGGATGATGTATCGAAATTGTAAGGAGAAATTATACATACAATTTCTCTCAGAGCTAATTATATCTCAAGGTTAACTTGTATCCTTTGAGACCTTTTTTCCGTTATTGCAATTGGCGTTAAGTATCCTTGATAAAGATTTCCAAGAGTTCAAAAGAGTTCAAGACATAATCTTGCCTAGAGCTACTTTAGGTTCTCTCTGCTGGCTCGGTTTTCTTACCTGCGCAAGATGCAGGAAAGATGTCTGTCTTCTCAGTGACTGAACAAAACGTCTCACAGCTAAATATAAAACAGAATAAAAGATGAAATAAGAAGGTTACTCTAGAGAGAAATAAGGAATAATATGTCAGAAATAAACGTTAAATAAATTTCCGGTCACAATGTTATCAAACCTTGAATTTTTCCCATTTTAAGATAATCCGGTAGCTCAACTGTAGCAGCTATTACCCAGGACTCCAAATGTCTCGCGAAGGTCCTGATATCAGCGAGGAGACTGAAATGAGAGATAAAAAAATTAAACAATGTTTAATTTGCAATTCAAGCATAAGATTATAGTTCATCCGAAAAAGGCATAAATGTCAGTTTACCCTTCTGGCACGTCTTGCATTGTAGATGGAACCAAAACATCCATGAGAACCTGACAAGAAACGGAATTAAAAAATAGATTATTTTGACGTCAATGAAGATAGTAAACTTTAAGCCTCGTGATTTTCAAGTGAATGATAATGTTTTTTAGTGAATGCACGGGTATACTCGGATAATAAAAACTACGAGTTCTCCCATTCATAGGAGCCAAACCTAAGACCTTCCGGACGCTCTACCACTGAGCTGTAGAAGGCTACAGTGTAACTATGTCCATAGTGACAAACTTCCCTTGTACAGCTAGCATAGGAATATCGATATGTAGTGCTTCCACGCAAAGTTGACTATTTCACTGACAACATTCCTAAAGAAAGGCCTAAAAAGCCTTTGAATGTAATTTTTAAATAATAGAATCATGATCGAGGAAGTAAAAAATCTGACTGAGTTATATTAATCATTGCATATTTCTTGAGATGAAAGCTGATAAAAGAAAAACGCAAAACTGAAATCTATTCTTCTGGATGAACAGACACTAGATTTATAGAATCGTTTATTTGAGTACCTTGTATAAAATTGAGTCACAAACACAAATGACATCAGCAACGACCTCTGTGTTCATCAGTGGCAGAAGGTGATCGGGCATTCCTTGCCAAAAATGGAGAAGAAAATTTTTTATCTGAAATGAGACGCAGAAAGCATGTCATCTTGTTTAGTCAGGTTGGACTGTGCACAGCTAACTTTAAAAACGCCTGGCAAATTCACTAAGGATAGACGCACAAACCTCTGGGAGTTGAGTGCACGAAAAGTAGCGCCTCACTCTTAGAGTTCCGCGCGACGCGCTTACATCATTTTTTTTTTTTCGACGATTTTTCTTAACTCGCGCGACGATCTTAGTCGAAAAGAAGGAACTGCTCGTAGTTTATCTTTAGGGTGACTACTTATTTCATTACAATGAGGATTTTTTTAAGGACAGTGAGATTACTAAGGCACCAATGGTATGGGACAACCTGTATCACAAATCATTCTATGAACCTCGCCAGTTGTATCAGCTTACCTCATCAAAATTTGCATTAATTGCAGTGTCCAGTATACATTGACAGTGAGTCTTGTACATAACTACGAACGTTTCAACCTGAAAACATGTTAAAAGTCGTATGCACAGTTTTAATACCAAAATTAAAATATTGTCGAAGTTTCATTTCGATTTTAACCCCCCTAAATACAACAATTATTCAACGAGTAATTCCTCTCCTAATAATTTCAAAAGAATATTTAGTAAATAGGTGATGAGAATGGAAAAAAAAATCTTATCAACGGGTGGTGCTTCCTTGAAGAAACACCAAATGCTTTAGAATGATCCAAGAGGAAATATGTGATAGCTGGAAGAGATAATTTCGCATTTTATCTTGGTAGTCGCCAGGGAATCTATGTTAGCATATCTATAGCTGCTGAAATGGTGTGTTATAAATTTCTATAAAGAAAAAGAGAACATGGTTCTACCTGGCTGTACAAGCCCCGCACTTGACATCTTTTCTCTTGCATTTTTAAAAACATATCAACTAGAGATTTTAACCCTTTACTCCCTAAGAGCGACTCGCATCTAATTTCTCCCCACAATATCAACCCTGAGTCACATATTAAGGTCATGAGAATAAAGGTAATGATCACCAGCTAAAGAAGCTCTTGATTGTTAAACAAACTCTCCTTGTTGGCAACTTAGGAAACGTGTGGAGAACAGTATGGAGAATATGCATACTGATGTTAGGGTGGAAAGGGATAATGTAATGTGACCACACAATACTCAGAGGCAGGAAAATTCAAATAGATAATTGATGTTTCCTGTTGTAAAAACTCATTACCTTTTCTAATGATATTTTCTCCGGTAACTCCAGTAGCCTTGGATTTGGGAAATCTGGTAACAGTGTTCCAGTTTTGGAGCTGAGTGAGTATTTTCGAACTGAAAATGAGCCCTGCAAACAAGAAAGTAACTTAATAATGACTGTAAATATATGAAAATCAGATATGTGCACTGCGGTTGAAGAAACGAATATAGAAGTGATCCTTGCAGTTATGAACACTACTGAACTAGTAGCTGAAATAAAGCCTGAAAACAATAACCTCTGCGATACCGGTGCAGCGCTCTACCAACTGAGCTATATTCGTTTCTTCAACCACAATGCACATATATGCTTTCATATATTTACAATGATTATTCACCACTTGGGGGGTTTATTTGGAACCAACATAATGACCAGCTCCCAGTTGGCTTGTTAGCTCAATTGGTAGAACGCTGCAGCGGTATCGCAGAGGTCATGGGTTTAAATCCCGTACGGGCCTGAATTTTATCAGGTCTCATTTCAACTACTAGTTCATTAGTGTTCATAACTGCGAGGATCGCTTCTATATTCGAAGAAAGTATCTTGTTTATTAGTATCATGCATGAGGTGTGCGTTAACGAAAAGAAAAAATATTTAAGTAAAGATATTAGAACATTGGTAAATAGTGTGTGGGCAAAAATAATTAAATCTCGCACTGAGGAAAATTGCTCATTTAAGTAAATCTTAGCAATAACATATCACGTTTTTGGTCATGAACAGTCTTTACCTCATTCTTGACTTTTGACCCAGAAAATCTGTTTGAAATGGAAAGATTGATGAAGATATTAGATTAAACTGAAATTTTAGAGAGGCGGACGGTTAGATATATACCGTCGTGAATCACTTTTTCAAATAATTTCGGTCACCATGCATCAGTGAATAGTTTGAAGCCGGGGGTATATGAGTGTAATTTTGACTATCCCTGCATTTCCTTGAGAAGCAAACTTTTACTTGGGTATCCTGTGAAATCGAAACGTTGCGAAACCTACACATCCTGTTTTGTATGTGGGTCAGTGGTGCTATCAGCGGTGGCTGTTAAACGCTTTCAATCATCAGATTTTAGTAGTGATTCTCCTTTCCATTTGCCATATGTATTAACTAGTGTTAAATCTGAGAATATAGTGGTAAATCAGATAATATCCCCCTGTTGAAATTCTTCTTTAATATCATCGAAAATCTGTGTACCATTGTGTTGGTATTGTAAAGAGAAATTACATCTTGGTTACTCTTGGCAATGAAAGGACAAACAGAATCGCACGAAAACAAGCCTGTGAGTGCTAGCGGCCTGTGTCAGGCTTACATTCGGAGAAGGCAGGACAAAAAATAGCGAGAGTTTGGGAACAAAAACTCTTTCCGTTGCCGTTTCCCCTGACAACCGTTCAGCCTCGTTCGCCCTTTAGTTTGCATGTCTCTTCTGATCGCGGGCGCGGAATGAACTTAAGCCGTGCTTTTACACATTTCAGTTGTTAAGTCTAGAATTTCTTTGTTGTAATTTGAGGTAGAATAAGTCTTCCAAATTGACTCGCCGTTCAGTCGCTCCCATTCCTATGTTTAGCCCAATTACAAAGGAAACATTGGGAGAAAAACACCCCTTTTAATGTAAAAGACAATTAATTCAGCAGTATGCAAACAGACCACACACCAAGAATACCTCTCTTAAAATACTCAAAAGTCTGGTTTAAATGGAACTTTGAAAAAACAAAATCATTCAGATAGAAAAAAAATCGAAGTGGCGTTTAAGTTTGCGAGTGAATCATGGAAATAAAAAACAGCTGGGGCGTTTTATTGAAGAGTTAAAAAAGCTTTATATTCATAAACGTTAGCCGGGCTTGACCTCTCGGCTTAAGAAAGATTATGGGCTGTAAAGTATTTCGATCTCAGCTGGTTACCATTTAAGAACACTCCTACGCACGGAGTTGTCAACTCTTTTATATACAAAAATATATATAGTAGGGGCTTCAATAACGTTTTCAGTCCACAAGCGGTTGCCGATGGTGAGATGGGCTGGGCGGCTGTGCCGTAAGTCGAAACCAAACACACGAAGTTACTCGCCAGCGGAACAGACGGCGGTGCGAGGTCCTACAGGCGGCGGCAAACCGCCAATAACCGGTTTAAATGGAAACCCCTGAGAGAGTCTTAGTCATGTACATCTTTGCTTTTATGTTCTTTGGGAGTAACATATTTTTCTATTCTTAGGCGATTCATTTTGGTGTCCCTCCGGAGCTCAATTAATGCTGTATTGTTCGTTAAAGTAACTGACTTTGTGTATAGCCTCCTTAATTTAAAAGGTGTCAAATGATTAAGTGACCTTGAAATAAATGGAACAACTTAATTTCTAGATGTGTACTTAATTTAAGATGGAGGAAAGACCTCAACATCACATATGTCTGCAAACGGAGAAAATTGCATTGTAAGACCGCAGATTTACGCTATTTTTTGCCACGTAATTTTTCTACTGTGTTTAAAGTTTACACTTCTTTACATTACAAACTTCCGTTTTTCATCCCCGACGAGTTTTGAATAAGAAAGAACCGGCATTTCTATTGTCTTTTCAATAAACAAACCCCATTATTCTACAGAAACCCATTTAATTACACAGCTCAAAATAAGCAGCGAGATGTCGCTTGGTATACCATGACAAGAAGTCAATACGGAGAATTATTTCCCTCACCTCGTTAAACCTTTGCCTGAGTATACCGAGTGATAATAAGCAGAGGATTCCTTGATACCTATTCCGTAGTAGTGATATCTGAGAGAGATGGCAAGAGATTATTGTTAAGTGCTCGTATAAATAAACGAAATCTTGGAAACGATTAGCGATTCAAAAAACAAATTGGTTCAGTCAATGCCATCGTACTTTGAATGACCGCGGGTTCCCAGCCTTCTTGTGGTTAGTTGAGGAAACTTCAGTCGTATCGTCTGAAAATAAAAACAAAATAGCTTAAGATTTCTAGCCTGTATTACCTGCTGTCAAAAAGTTCGAGATTTTAAACCCAGAAAATCATAAAAATCTCTAGAGAAGACATACACTCTGAATTGTCTTCTTATGGCACAGTCAATTTTGTTCCGGAATAGATTTTCCTTTATTTGGAACATTTATCGAGAAACTAACTCAAACCCACCAAAGAGAATTTGATAATTACTCTGTCATCAGAAAGGTATCTTCTTTTGCTAAGCATTGTCTTCTTGTATGACTTAAATAAATTATTCAAAACAATTTCAGTTCAAAATAAACAAGGATTACAAAAACACATCTTCGACCATCATGTTTAGGAATACAACCAGCAGCGAAAAACTTAGCGCAAAAAAATGTCCAAAGTTTATCGCTTCAGGTTGATACAGCGAGTCGTACGAAAACTTTTCTCTCGTATAAATTTCAGAGTTTTAAGCTTAAATAAAAAGGAATCAATTTCATCATCACTTCTTGTCCTTTGCATACAACCAGTGAAGAACGTCGGGAAAAGTCGCGCGACTGGCAACATGGTTATTTTCATTCGCTGGACGTGATTGGCCGAGCTTACAGGTAGTGTGCATGTCTATGATTGGATGAGAGAGATACGCTGTTTCTTTGCTGAGTGTAGTATACCAGTCAAATGCGCTTTTGCCAAAAAAAAAATATCGAATAAAATTACCTTTCCAAACGTTGCAGCACATGCTGCATCGACACTATGCCTTCGACAGAAGTCCAGATAATGAGCGTACAGAATACAGCGTGGAAGGCAGACACCTTCACACATTACATAGTTTTCTTCAAGCCTGTAAAAACAGTAGAAATATATAACATTTATGGTCAAAATGTATATATCTTTGCAATATACCCATGCTTAACTGCAACAAAAAAAAAAGTGCTCTTTTCGAAGCAGTGACATTTGCTTTGTAAGGAGGACCAGAGAGTAATTCATTTATCTGTCATTCATTCAATCAAAGGGCGTAAAAGATACACTCAGTTCAGATTTCGTTTTCACAATTCTCTAGGCAGTCACTGAGAAAAGTTTTAATTCCGTAAACATTGAAAAAGTGCGTCTGAATTGGTTCACAACCAATAGAAAGCAAACTGCTCAGGTGATATATGTTGGATAAGCTTGCTGGAAATTAGTGAAAAACTGCTTAGTAATTCGTGTAAACGTTCAAAGAGACTACAGAACTTTAGAAACATCTTTGCGTGACGAATACCACACCCATTGATGTATGTGGGAGACGACCAGACTTCACACAATGTTTTTTTATCAAAGACTCGGTTTTCTCGGAAAGAGGAATTAGCTATATCAGCTTTTGAAGGGTTTTGAAGAGTTTGCCGAGAACATTTTCATTTCCCAAGCTCTTTATTTCAGAATAATTCAAGTCCACCCATTTATTTCCTCGGTGACTCATTGTTTACGTTTAACTCAATATTTTGGTTGGCATTAGCACCGAGCAAGGCCGCATTCTTTCAATCTTTTATTCGAACAACAAACACTGAAGACGTCAAATGTCTCTGTCATTATTTATTTACAAGATGGAATCCAATCGACCTTTACACCAAAGTATTTTGGTGGAAAATTCTCCGTAGAAAATTCTCGATAGAAGAGTAATAGATAACATGTTAAGATTAATCTCTTGTTTTGAATATCCGTAATAAGATGAACGCGAGACAAAGGCATAATTCCTTGACTTTTGACCAAACAAAAGAATAGTTTTAAGTATCAAGGTTACTCTAAACCATCTAAAATAATGCTAAATATAAGTATGTTTCTGACCTTTAATAAGAAATAATGTAATCTCGTATTAAAGCCATTATTTGATGTGAGGAGAATTTTCGAGTCTGTTAGTGCAATAACTCTTACTTCCTAAGGGGAAAAAATGAGCGTCGAATCCTTTTTTAGGCAATCTTTTTCTTCTCTTTTCAGAAACTTAAAACGTCATAAAACTAACTGCAATCCACTAGTAAATTTCCACATTTTTCTCCAAGAAACTTTCCTAACCCGATTGTGGTAGAAATAAAAAAATCGTGCCTCCGGTGAAATATTTTTCGAGCACCCCTGTCATGTGCTCAAAACGGAAAGACACATCTGTTTTGTGATCACGTATGGTTTCCTAATTTGTGGCCGAATCTCCATTCTTTCCGTGACGTTATTTTATTTCCAAACGTCTAAGTTTTAAGAACATCATGACAATTTACATTTGAAGTGTTCGAATTAAAACCCGCTGGCCTCCAAGGGTTCGAGAATTTGTTTTCCGGTCTTTTGTGATCACGACGCTTTCAACAAATTAATTGAATCGAGTTCAACCGCAAGATTTTAACACATAGCACGTCAGCTTAAAGAGGGAAGGAATTTCTTTCCCGTCGTAAACAAACTGTCTATCCGATAAGTTACCTTGCCCTTGGAACGAAAGTGTCACGTACATAGCTGAATTTGAAAATGCTGTAACTGTTTCACTTAAAATCAACAGGTGGTAACTTGTAAATTGCTCCTGTCATCAGACACTTTCGCTAAACTAAAATCTTCATTGATTAATTTTCCTACAACGACAACTTGTATACCATATAAAAAATAAGTCAGAAAATTCAGAAAATATTCTGGAATGAAATGAATGTACTTCCCTCGAAATGGTAAAAAAAATTGTGTACAAAATTTTGCTGCAAGGTCTACAACTCCCAACTCGAAAATCCATTAAAAAACATTTAGAAACATGAGCTCCCTAATTGTATTTTCTTTAACAGAAATTTACTAAAAGCATTTTACCAAAGCAAGTGTCTCTTTTGTTGATAAAGTCTTAAGAAATTCCGGATGGCACAATTCTGTAAAATAATCCACGTATTTCTGGCTGGGTGACATGGGTTAATATCTAGTCCAAGACTAGTGTGCGTCAAAGCTTTTGTGTACCATAATGAACGTCAATCGATGAAAGGTTTAGGCGCACTGTAAAAGACTTGTTTACTTACAGACTTACAAGCTGTTAACCGAAAAGAAATATTCATTTATTTTACGCCTGACAGAGTTGACTTAAGCTGACAGCTACGAACCTCAAGTTTGCTGAAAACACCAAAATAGAACTCTCAAGAGTATCAATGATATCAACACAGTTAATTAACAGCTGAGAGATACTCCTTGTCTAAATAAGTTCAAAAGATTTTGCTGACGGGGTTTCTAAAGAGAACGGCATATTAAATTGAAAAAAAATATTCTGTGCAGTAACTGGTGTTGTTTGCAGTTCACGCTGCTACTTCAACTAAATTACTAGTAATGTGGTTTTTCAATTTTTGTCTTCCGCCGAATTTCCGGACGTAGTTAAACACGTGTGAAGATTCACAAGATTTTGTAGAAACCACATCTAGCAAATTAGTGCCGATATTAAGGCAGTACGCACAAATCGCTACAGAAAATTTTTTAAAATATGAAATCAGTGTTGTGGAAACAAATTGATCTGTGACATGCAAATAGGATGAAAAGACTGTGTTTACAGTAAATACTACACAGTAAAAATGTGAATTTATTTAAAGCATGACATAACTTCTATTAACCTACTAAAACCTTGTTAATAATAGTAACTGGATCTACAGAGCGATTTTGATGATACAGTTGCTTTTCGTTTAAAGTTATTTTTGGATTTTTTTTCTTAACGAAAAAATGTTAGTTTCTGTCGTCCTAGTTGGTAAGATGTGCAAATTTGTTTTGAAGTGCTTTGCGGTTTTCACTCAAAATTTTTTGCACCTAGGTCCCTTAAAAGAAAGCGTTGCCGTTTGAAAGAAAGCAGAGCCGAACTAATTGTTAATAACTGAAAGAATTAAGAAGTGTTAGAAGTGTGAATTGGAATCTTCAGCGGCACTTGAGACGGTGACACCTTTACAGGAAACCATAGTCTTACAACAAAGATTAAACCTTACCAAAGCAATGTTTCCGTTAGTTGTTCTTTCTTCGTTTTCGGAACTCTTGCCTTGCTATCTTTCATTATCAACTCGGTGTCTGTAAAAAAAGAAAAACTGAGCTGACAATGGGACAGGAAACCAACAAATTTGTTTCTATCAACACGCTTGTAATCTTACGAACGTTTGTTTGTCAGCGCAGACCTTCTGGAAATGAGCGCTAGCCACTGAAAATATGCCTCAATTTTTAATCCGATATTTACGTGAGTGATGGTAGACTTATAGCTGATTCATGGCCACGAAATAGCCTCATAAGCAGCTTCAATATTAAGTCGAGACAATGCCAAGTCATTTGTCGTGAAGCCCTTCAATTCAGTGACAGTTAATCCGCAGCACTCAAGTTCAAATAGCGCTCTGAAGTTCATACACATGAGACGTTTTCATTTTTACGCGCCGTGCTCTATACCATGATTTCTTAATATCACTTTTTTTCGAACGTTTGCGCATTTTCTTCGCTTGCCTGAGCCGAAACTGTTGCAATAAAACCAGGCGGGAACGTTTTCAAAACATTACAGTGCGACTTGCGTAAAAGCGCAGTCAGGCAAGCAACTCGTTCACTCACAACATTTCGTGCGAGGGAATTTCAATCAGCAAAATCTAACTCTCTGAAGGGTAATTATATAGACAATGGCATGGATTAATTTTGATTCTAAAAGCTCTTATGGAGCGTAAAACTTTTAAATATCTAATGGCGGTCATTCAGCCATGGTAGCTTATGGGGCTTACACCGTATGTTTCTAACAAGCTTTCAAGAATATATTCACTCTGAATGGAACACAACGTGTGTTGCCTTCGGCAAAATAGTGACGTAATGCTACAGAAGCTTGACTGTATTTCTTTACGTCAGCAAAAATAGAAAATTATCTTTGATTGCTTCTTTATAAAATGAATTGTTCCACTTTGAAAAAGTGTAACGGCTATCTCGTAAGCTGGTAGATGCATACGGAAATATTGCTAGAAAAAAACGTACCTATTTGTTATGACCGACGGTTGACATCACCTTTGTTCCATGCTATTGAGGTTTATTAAGCGGACACAAAAGATAGTAATTATATATTTTTGTGGTATCAAAATACTGATGTACTTTTACATACCTTCGGTCTGTTCCTCGAATTGCCCATGTAATTTCTTGTTGTTAGGCGTTTTTTTCGTTTTAAGTTTACATCTTTTCACTCGCGAGACGAATTCTCTCTTTTCAAAATCGCTCACGCCGATTTTATTGCTTGACTGGTCAGGTACACGACTTCTGTTCCTCGTGCTGGGCATCGCGACTTTGTATTCGCTCTGATTTGTAAACTGTAAAATACGACCCGTGCGGTCAGCTATACACCTCCCGTTGAGTCAGAACGAAGAACCTGGTACTCGCAAAAGAAGAACCACCGACTTTTAGATCGCTTTGTCTAGAAACACAGAGAGCATTAGTTCATGCAAAAGAAGGGTGAATGTAGATGTCTGCGGCGGATTATTTGAGCGAAAGCATCTGTAGTCATCAACTGAGGTGCATAATTAGAATGAGGTCTGCAGTCAAACACAAAAGACTTGTTATTGCCATTTGACGGTTCCTGAAATCATTCATGAATTATTAATTCGCAGCAGGCGCGAGCGAGTGAAGTTGTTACGTCATTTATTGCCTCAACCCACGCATTCGGATCTTAATTAAATAATTATCTCTGTTTCTTTCTCTCGTGCCAGTCGCGACCAATCACGGCACGGCTACTAATTGAACCCTTGCCACCTTCAACAAAAGGATTTTTGGTCACCATAGCAACTGCCGCCGAAACAAAGAAACTCGAAAAGCTTTACGCTTTAAGTTTGATCTGACTGTCAACAAAAGTTATGGCGTTTGAATGTTGCCCTTTGTGTAACCATCGGCTTTGCTCAGAAAGCGATTGTGCAACGGATTTCTTGTATTGTACCCATGTGGCTAACAAATAATTCAAGTGTATAATTAAAACGAGCGTTTTCTTCTATCGTTTGTAGAAAGTGTTTCGAGAAGACATTAGAACAGCCAGACTTACAAAGCAATTCGCTAGAAAATCTGTCATTGTTGTAATATCTATGGCCTAGAGTGCCACTTGATTCCAACATTTTATCATAATATCGTTTTAATCCATCCTAAGCCGTTTTGCACTTTCCTGCAGTTTAATTGTGATAAGGTTTGTCATTAACGAGACAATTGTGGCTTTTACTGGATCAAAAGATTTCCTCGACCACTTGTTTATAACGGGAAATTTTCGATACCACATCCCTTCTATTGTGCGGTAAAAAATGCAGAGTGGACGAACGTGACACACGACTCAAGTACACGCGTCATTTTCCCGCCGTTTGACGCACGCGGCCGCGGATGCCATAGCGCGGATCAAACATCACTCGCTCGCGTGCATAAAATTACAAAAGCCCCATACCACATACAAAGATTTTTGTTTGCTTTGCATGCAGTTTTCATCTTTTTTGGGAAGAATATTCATAATGGATGCATTTTTTCCAGTGGAAAGACTTTTGCTGCGAGTGTCAAGTACATTACGGACGAAATCTTAATGATTGTACGAATTTGGAGGTTTGCAATGCTGACTGCAAAACCACACCCATGATGACAAAACAAATTCAATTTCAAAGTAACAACTTGGCTGATTATTAAGCAGTAACATATCGACTGAAATAAGAAGAAGTTGTACTAATCAAAACGATAAAAAATAGACATGTAAGTGTAAATCAAGTTTACCGGTGAGCTTTTTGGTGAGAAAAGCATAATGAACTTTCTTTGCGACGAAGTCGACAATTGTTTCGCCTGAAGCGTTTTCGATTTGTTCCAGATGATTAAAATTGTTCCAATTTATTACACAGGTTGACTTATCTTCAAAAATTGAAAATTCTGTCTGTTTTTCGAGACTTAACTGAACGATAAAGAATTTGATTCAGAAACGAGCCCCAGGAATTTTTAGAAATTTTTGTTTGAAGCAAGTTCAAGGACAAAAAGAAAAATTCCAATTCAAATCTAACTGTTCTAAAACAATCAAAAAAGACTTCATACCATGCACACTTACTGACGAAAATTTATCCTAGGACGTGCTTTTTGTCACATACTTTAGTCAAACCAAATAATTTCTCATGATCTTAACTCGTACGTTTATCCACTTCAATTGACTGAGTTAAATTATGCTTATTTAAGACTGTTTCAGCCGATGTGAGTGAAACAACGGAAATTGAACCTTGAAGGTTTAAGCAAGATTTTGCGGTAATGTGATTACGAAGCTTTGAAACAATCTCCATCCGTAGTGAATGAAACCAAATCAAATCCTGAGCTTTCCTTCCAATCACTCCCTGACTATCCTTGAATATTGAGTGACATGTTCAGCTTAAATTCTAACCGTGAAGAGAACACATTCGTTCAAATTAGATTTAGACCCTATTTGCTCTATCAGTTGTACTACTAACCTTTCTAGTTAGGGTTTTTCCCTCACTGATCAGCTGCGATGTAATATGGTTTCTCAAAGCTAATAAGATATCACAAGATTTTTCTTCAAATGTAAGCATGAACTTTATTGCTTACTGAACTGTGGACAGAATGGAGGCCGAACGTGACGGTATGCCAAAATTGGGATAATTTTTACGAAACAGATAAACAAACCATAGCTGAAACAAAACACAGAGTGCGACACCAACCATGACTGAAAAATCAAAAGAAAATCATTTTTTTTAAGCAGAAATATTTTCTTCCATTAACACTCTGCACGCAACTTTTGAGCTTCAGGGACAATTTCGATAAAAGCGTCTTTAAGGAGGAAAACATTATCGCGAGAAGTTTCTAGGAAAGAAAGTGATACCATTCATTCAAGAAACTCTCAAGAATGATTCTCTCTTGTCTCTAAGGTTGGAAGTTCAAAAAGGACGTGACAAAAAGTGCTGGTGCCGCCATATTTATCTCGCTTAGACCCACGCGATAGTCAGTGAAATTTTAAGTTTGCTTCACTCTTTCTCCATTCCTTTTCCTTCATCAGTAAGAAATTTCACTTCTATGTGCTGGTTCGTGCAGTTCTGTGTAACGAAAATTTTTGCCGGAATTCATTCCGCTTGGGCTACTGCAGCCTACGCGCATAATCGACAATAAAAAAAAAATGAATGACAACAACGCGGAAACAAGAAGCAAACACAGTAACGAACAGAGCAACTTTGTGAATCACGTAAAAGTCAAAAACATGAAAACGAAGAGAAGGAAAAACTGTGAGAAAGAGAAATTTCTTAACTGATCAAAATTATCATGATAGCATGGCCGAAATGATGAAGACTTTCAGTGGTTAATGATCTGTTTAAGATTTAAGTAAAACTGCAGACAAATTGATACAAGTTAATTTAGATAGGTTAAAACTGAACTTTACTAAAGACCGAGGAGAACTGAAAAATAATCTGGAAACTTGTTGAGGAATACAAATTTACGTGGAGCGGTTTTTTTTTCTTCTATTCTTTCCGGTAGCATGAATCGAATTGCTAAAGTTAGTGGGGTAATTTAGTATTATCAACTCAGTTGATAACGTAAATTGGCCACCGTAAAGAATTTCAAAGCTTACGTTTCTTGCTTTAGCCCTTCGCCAATCGCTCTGACGAAGGGCAAACACTCGAAACGTCAGCTTTTTAACTCTTTACGGTGGCCAATTTACGTTATCAACTTAGTTGATAATGCTAAATTACCCTGTTATACTCTCCCACTGACGCAGCACCACAGTTTCTTTAGAAACTTACCCTCTTCATTGCTAAAGTTAGTATCTGAATGCACTCTTCAAGACCGTTAAGGACTTTTTTCAAGGAGACATATCGTGAAACTGAATTGAGAATGAATTGTGTGAAATGATGGTAGGAAATTTAACGATCAAACGCAAGGAAATTGAAGTAATTACAGGTCTTACGTTTGATTCGTGACAACAGAGAAGGAATTCACCTTCCTAAATGGAATACGTTGAGTTGAAAATCAGTTAGGAGATTTTAACATCACATCAAGAACGCATTCTGACTTAGACGTCTGTCTTTATCTCACCTTTTTCTCAAAAAGTGGATCGATTTCGTCTGAGAAAGCTAAGTGCATTTCAGTCAGTGCTGGCTCTATTAGAATGAATCGATGTTGTGGGCACAAAAATTGTCATGCAGATAAAAGTTGATATATTTTTAGGATGAATTGAATACTTCTGGCAGCAACGACCTGAGTTATTTTTTTGCTGTGGTAAATGACGTGTCTGTTTGTTTAGAACTACAGGCAAAGGTGACACGGAGTTTAAAGAAACAAAAACATGGTGTACCCTGCATGAGACAGCACGATCTGCTCAATTGAAGTTTAGTGAAGAAATTCTTTTATTAAATAATACGATTCAGATAAACCTTGTGTCACGGGGCAAAAAAGGCGAGTTTATGACAGTTAGCTAAGTTATGCTAAGTAAGCTTTTATCAATGTTATTTTGAATGGAATCGCTCATCAGGCATTATAGGGCTCTCATTCGACTAAAAAAGCCATGAATTAATATCATCACGATAAATCGCGTTGTTTACGGACTGAAAGAAAATCGGGCACAAAAAAATTCCAAATCGACACTTTCATACCTCGACGTTATCACCTTGTTCTCTCGCATTGCCGAATACGTTCATAATGTGATACCGTGTCGGTTGAGAATCAGAACGTATGTTATTTGGAAAACAACTCATTTATAAATTTCAACTGACAAAAATGATGTTCTAAATGAACTCACCTTTCGCAAATTTCTGTCTGTAAACAATTTTAATTCAGCTTCCGAAATCAGTATTTTCCCACGACTGTTGCCATTGCGGTGAGGACGAGGTGAAGACAACCTTTACGGGTTAGAAAAACATTTACTGCACTGGAGATTCACAATGCTCTGGCAGGTGAGAGTTTTGTAAACTGTTATTCTGTTTACTGAGAAAGAAAACTTTCTTTCGCCTTTTAAAACAGGTGGTCTTAAAGAAGCACGGCCGGAGAGCAATAGGTCTGAAAATTTATAGTAGAGCGCACGTGATGTCTGTGAAACTGTTTTTTAAGTCTTATTTACAGAGAGATAACAAAGTTAAAAAGAAAATATACAAAAAAGATAAGCTAAGGACTGTTTAATTGCCATTAAATTCCCACTAACGTTTCAATCAAAACTCACAGCAGATTTTTCAAGATTTCGTAGAACCTTTTCCTTGTATCGACATTTTCATCCTTAGTGCTTATCCGAGCTCTGAAATATGTAATTAAATTTTGACCTCGCCACTCCGCTTTCGAAAGCTTTAAATAACTTTTAAAATTTTTCATGTTTGAATTACTGTAAAAATAAAAACTAGATAGTTGACAGCAAAGTTCTGAAGTGTTACGCAAAGCATATCAACACGAGAAAAAGCTGAATGACACGATTTTGAGCGAAATTTCTTACAGTGGGAGTTATCGAAGTGTCGGAGTCTTTCGCTAAGTTTTATAAAACATTTCGATTTGCAAACTATTGAGACCACAGTAAAGTCACCTAAAACAAGTGATTTATTCTAACCTGAAAGTTGTCATAAGAGAAAACATCTACTGTTTTCATAGCACGAACCTCCTGGCGGGCACGTTCTCTAAACTTTACGCTCACATTCCTTTGTTAAAAACGGCCTTTCCTCTAGATTGCTAGTTTCAGCGAGATTATAACCGTGTGGTATTACTATTCTAGCTGAACTCACCGCGGCAGGTTAGAATAAGTTTATAAACTTAACAATAAATGATTTAGTGAATTCGTTTACATTCAAAACGCCGTTTTCCTACCAAAGTGACTTAATTTAGAGATCTTAGTCATATAGTTCATTACAGTTACTGAAAAAAAAGAGGAAAAAAGAGAGATCAAGAACGCTTACTTTTCCCTTGCAATTAAGTCCATAGACTCAAAAGGCACTCACTAAGATAATTACAATTTCCTTAGTTTTTTTAAAAGTATTTTTAGCAGGATTGAAAGGGTGGGGGGGGGGGGGAGGAGGGTCTTCGTTATTAGAGGCAAATATGACATCATCACTTTCATTCTAAAAAGTTACCCAACACCTTTCATTTCCTCACTTGCAATTGTATACTGTTCTAATACTTTTCCTTATTAATACCACACCCTGAAAAATAGAAAGGAAAAAGGCAGTTTCATTACAGAGCTCCCTTTTCTTTGAATGGACACCACCAAGTGTTTGGCAATACCTTAAAAATCATCTAATCTATGTTTTTTTTACAGGAGAATTCAAGATAGCAGTTTTGATTGAAGCGCTTTACGCTACGAGTTTGCAACTTGAAGCTATACTGCTTGCGTTGTAATGCTTGTTAACAGTGACGCGGCGATATTACATCCCCAGCGGCGCTTTCTTCCTTTCAGCAGACATATGCTTCGCTAATGAACACTTACAACTTCCTGAATCTCTAACTGTGAGGAAAACAAGAGTCAACAGAAAACAGAAAATAAATCTTCCATGTTCAAGTCTGTAAATTCTAATGTGCACTGATGGAGTAATCATTTACTAACGAGTTTATATTTGTCTACTCTGTAACAGCTTTATCACAATTTATCTTACACTTGCCTCGATTAATGGCCCATTTATGTCCAATTCACTTCACATGCATCAATGCTCATTGTGAACACCAGCAATATCAGGCACTAGACTGAAACCAAAGTACTTGATAAAGCAATGAACCAAAGTCAGCAAATAACACGTACGTGATACGAGAGCTCGATTCAGAAAATTGGTTCTCTGTCAGCTAACTTCTGCGAAACTGCTTCAGAATTTTTCGAAATTGTAAAGAGTTGATGTTTACGTCTGTTTTCATCTCTGTTTGTTTTTCTGTTCTAATTCAGCCTGACAACTGGCAGACTAGATAGTATCTTAAATGACAGCAAAGAGAAAGAAGAATAAGCTGAATATTTATGCTAAGTTTGAAACATTCATTTTTTTTAGGAAATGTGTCTTCTTCTTTCACTCCAATTACACATTTGAAAAATGCTCGAGAAAGGGTCGAGAGTTTGTTTATTTGTTTGCTCTACGAGTGTTTTAAGTCTCTAGGAAGTCATTTCACTTCAAACGGAACGCACGGCCAATATTTTCGATGAGTCTCTTTGATTACGAATTGCGCAGAATTCATTCCCTCCGAGAAAACTAAAGCCACAAACTGAAGAAAGCCGAAATTCTTGGCAAGAGCCTAATACTACCCCATTTACGAGGAATCAGAAAAAGTTTCGTCAATTTAATTGAATAAAGTTCCTTTCCGGACTGAAAGTTTCCACGCTCAGTCTCCTTTACACAATTGAGTGATGTCAATCATGAATTTTACCATTGAAAATACAGAATGCAATTTAAACTGATCCGCGAATCAAACTTCACCAAAGTTATCAAGCTGCGAACTCACAAACACGTACAAGAGAGACTTAATCTTCTCCTCTGCATGAACAACTATCAAGTAAAAATACTTAGAGTGAGTGTCGTTTTTCCACGTAAAAAATATTACTTTCAAAAAAATTAGCACAACGTAATAGACGCATTCGTCAGTTTACCATAAACATTCCATTCCGCTTGGTTTAGACCAATATACTCGTTTTTTAACTCTATCGACGCCATGTCAGCTGCCGGGTTAATTTAATGGAAACCCTTGAGGGCATAATCACTGAATAACAGAGGTGGATTATCTCTCAACTTAATTACTACTGAACTGGGTAATGAAGTGAAGAGACCGCGATATTATGACCTGATGGATATTTTGAGACTTAAACAAACCACGACGGATACTGCAACGCAGACGTGGCAAAACAAAAGATCTAATGAAAAGAATGATAGCTCGGCGACGGCATTTTAAAACTTGTACGTTTCTTTACCTTCCTCTGCAAAACAAAAACGTGACATCCCCAGAATTTGCGTCCACATAACAGGAACATAGATTGCAAACTACTTAAGTTTCCCTTTGGAACTCACAGCTACTTACATATGTCATGCTGAAGTTTAGGTGGGCGCCCTTAGAAACGGTAAACACATCCAGCCATTTGCGAAATCCTAACTAAAGATATAAAATCATTTTTCGATCAAAATCTTCCTAAGCGTTGCCGTCCTGATTGCCTAAGGTCCCCATCAACTTCCTCGCGTCTACTATTCCATGCCATCGAAATGTAAGTAATTGCGCCAAGTTTTTGTGCTGACTCTCATATAAACCGTTCGCTCCTCACGTAACTTATGCCTCCTACGTGATTGTATCTACCTGCACTTACCTTACGGTAGCATCTATTTAGGAACTGTAGCCTCTGTTTAGCGTGAAAATATGACTGCTTTGTTTGTGTGATTTTCGTGGCCGGTTCTCCATTTTCGTTGCCAGAGCCGTACGATTTCACTTCAGAAGGGCTCTGGGAAC